TAGTAATTACTATCCATTCATTCCTTCAAACAAAGGTATCTCTTACTTTCATGTTACTTATAACAAATAAATATATATTTTTATTTAAATTTAGGCTCGTTCGATCTATTCGGTATAACCGGTACGCTGAAAGGAGCAACAATTGTTTTCTTTGCTTATGTTGGATTCGAATCAGTAGCAACTGCAGCTCAAGAAGCTGATAAACCATCACGAACATTGCCTATTTCTCTCATTGGTTCTCTCGTTGTTTCAATGCTAATTTATTTGGGTGTTAGTACTGTTATGGTTGGACTTGTTCCTTACTATTTAATAGATGAAGATAATCCACTGACTGATGCAATGTAAGTTATTAGTAATCGAATAAAGAAACATATATTATATATGTTGTAATTTATGTAGAAAAGCTACACCATATGGTCTTTGGTTATTGATTATTATGGATCTAGGTGCTATTGCAGGTGTCACAACTGTAGCATTAACAATTTTACTTTCACAAACTCGTATATTTTATGCTATGGCTCATGATGGTCTGTTGCCACCTATTTTTGCCAAAATACATTCTCGTACTAAGACACCATGGATTTCGATACTCATTAGTGGTATACACCCTATTCTATTCACTACATTTGATAGCTAATCTCTCTTTCTAGGTACTGTTTGTGCTGTAATAGCTGGTATATGTCCGGTCGATATTCTCGGTGAAACTACTTCAATGAGTGCCTTAATTATATACTTTTTCGTGCATGTTGATGTTATTGTAGTAAGTTAAATACGTTTGTATATAAGTTGATAATTTAAAATTCTACTTTATAGATGCGTTATACACATTCTGATATGCCAAGAACATTTCAAGTGCCATTGGGCAAGTGGCTAATACCAACAGTGGGAGCTCTCTTGTGTCTCCTACTTTTACTGTATACACCAAGGGCTACCGGCATCCGAGGTGCTATCTATTTGGGAATTGCGCATATTATTTATTTTTCATATGGCTTTTGGCATTCTAAGAGACGACTACGAATAAGACAAGAATCAATAACTGATCGTACTGTAGATCTTCCAACAGTAGAAAATATATACATGGATGCTATATACACTGATCCTGAAACAAACTCAATCGAAGAAACCACAGCATAACAAATATTGAATTCATAAAGAAATACTCTTTAGTATATTTAACTTCTTCGGAAATATTTAAACATAGCTTTTAGAAAATTGCAAGTAGTACTATGTTCTACTTTAAACATAAGTGTTATATTACTAATTAGTCGTTGAAATGAAATAAAGATCATAATTGAAAGTACTTATATTTATACATTTTGTTCTATATGATATTGTGAGCATTGTTTTATATCATTTGTAGAGTTCATAGATATTCAGTTTATACTGTATGATATTTGTAGTTGATTTTCTAAAAGATAAGATCTCACTACATTATAGTGATATCGACATCAACATCTTCATCAATGGCAGAATATATTTTTTTCTACTAATCGTATTACAAAAAAGAATGTAATAACAGATATCGGAACATAATATAGTGTACTACAATAATACTTTTCTTATTCTACAAATGGTGACTTGTGAGAATGAGTATTGTGATCATTTTTTTTGAATAGATTTTAAATACCAAGACCATTTTTAATGTTTGTGTTGAGTACATTAAAAATTCCAATGTTCATTTTGATTGATTTTAAAGATAGTATGTTTTTGTAATCGAAAGAGTGTGAGTGTGAATATTGTCGTCATGTCATACTCGAACTAACCCGCTATTCTGCTATTTTGTTAAAGAGATAAACCGCCTAAACTGCTAATGCATCTTATACCTACACTGAATTTTATGTAGACAATTGGTATAGTTTGAAATTGCCGCAAGATCAAATTTCTCTTAAACTCGCTAAGAAACTGTTCATAGTATCGGACCTAGATTGTTAATGATGAAATTCTGTATCTCACAGTGAACCAAAGAAAGTTCAATAAATTAAAATGAAATATTATCTCTGGTTGTATTAGACTTGAAGTTCTATTGATATTCATAATTTATCCAACATTTAGATTATATTTTTGAAAAGATTTATTTATTTCAAATGATTTTGAATTACTAATTAAATATGAGGCGTTCTATATACGTTTAAAATGGCAATGAGAGTTCGGATGAATTAAAACTTCAAGCTTAACATTAGATTTTAGTTAGATGATGGTAAAGCTATTTTCTTCGGTTATACTGATTGACAAAATTCTCTTTACATGGGATACCTTCCTATAATGAGAAAGTTTAAATTGTCTTAAGCCCGTTTTAATACATATATTATTGAGATTTCCCTCTTATAGTATCTATCCTGCTGCCATTCTACGACATTCTCTCTAAAACAATGAGATGATTGATGTTACTCGTATTCATATAAATTTCCATTGTCTGCTCTCT